AATAAAATTATATTCTATATATTGTATATATTTTTATGTATTATTTTTTCTTTTTTTTTTTCCCCCCAAATATTTGCACAATTTTTTTTAACACTTTCCATACCGAGTCATATATTTTATTCGGCTTTTAATTCAACCCTTTTTGTGATGTTTTGATCTCGTTAAATATATACGTCAGCGTGTTGCACGATCGATGGTGAAACGAGAGATCAATGGAAAATTCAACGTGTACCATGGTGTTATAACATACGTAAATAAAATGATACAATATTGATTTAACAAAGTATTTGGATCTACCAGAGATATAATAAAGAATAGAATTAATTTACTTTTCAAAATATATATAATATTTGATTGATTCTCTTCTTGTATTGGTATAATGTTTTAAAATGATTGGTCATATACATTGTTAAATCAATTCACAATTATAAACAATTTTATTTATCTCGTAATATAAATTATTATTCTTTTGCAAGAAGAAGAAGAAGAAGAAAAAAAAACATTTGTAAACAATTAATTAGTATCATAATTCGAAGAAAAAAATATACAATATTTGAATAATTTTTTATATTAATTTGAAAAAAAAAAACAAAAAAAAACAATGTATCGATGAATTGTTATCATAATCTTCAAGAATGATTATTAATATTTAGTTGTGTAACAACAAATAAATTGAATCGTTGAAAATGAGATTATGGTAAATTTGAAATACTCGTGGACCAGGTTAAAGGATTAGAATTTGTTTAAGTTTGTTTTTATTTAGAGAATACGGGGTTAGAATAACGGAGGAGTGTTGGTTGATCGCTGAGGAAGGATTTGAAACGCGCAGACTCATGAAAATAACTCTTATACCTGGTTGTAGTACTTGGTTGTGGGATCAAACCCAGTAACCGACACAAAGGGTACGTTCAGTTCTCACCGCCTCGTCGTTGCGGTACGACGTGTGTTTTTAATAGTGTTCGTTTGTTTTTAATATCTTACACACGTATATATTATTATATATACATATTTATTTAGTACAATGAACAAATATTTACAAGAAGATAAAAACAAAAAGAAATATTAATCAAATTTGATTTTTTTCTTCAACACAATTCTGGATCTGTTATAATTAAACAACGTTATTTTTTATTAGGGTAAGTATTATTATTATTAATAATAATTCTATTAATTTTATTTAATATATATATATATATTCATACAAACATGATCAAAATTATTTATAAATGGGTAACGTGTGGTGGGTATTAATCATTATAGGAATAAAATAAAACGTCGATAATATACGAATTAATCGAAAATTCGTTCGGATAATTGGTTATTCGGATAATTGGTATAAAGATAATCAATTTCCTAATTAATTTCTATATCGATTACGATATTTATACAATTTTGTTATTTACTTTAATGATTTTATAAATGTGAACAAATATATATTTAATAATTAGGAAAAAGTGAAATATTAAGAATTGGAATGCACTTAGGTGATTGTCAAATTTTGAATTCCTTCAAGTATAAACATTTGTATTAGAATTTATTATGTTTTCTTGCATATAATATATATTAATGAATTTTTAGTTTTCATTTTTGAATATAATAATTTGTAACTTATATATTAATTAAAACGTCAATTATTTCCATTTTTTTTTTCTTTTAACATTTGTTGCATAAATGAAACCATATGTATAAACATACTAAATTCGGACAAGATACTGAACTTTTTGCATGAAGCATGAAACAACAAGGATACGTGTTGCATAATATAAATATTGTTAAATACATAATTGAAGTACGTAAATGTAGTAAGTTACAAAAGTTTTTGTACCCTTACTGTCAATTTAAAACAATCAATATTTTCTTGTAATACAATATTCCTAAATTTATTATTATATATGTAATTACTTATATGATATAAAATATATCATTTAAATTAAAATT